TACCCATAAATCAAATCTACCCCTTCTGCCAAAAGCGACCGAACCACCGCTTCAGCTCCTGATATTTTTTCTGTCTCTGCCATAATTCTTAATATTTATCTGTTACACAACCTTCCGATGCAGATGTAACCGACCTTGCATACTTAAATAAAATACCCTTGCTGTGTTTCAATGCAGGGGCTTTCCAAGCTGTGCGTCTTCGTGTCATTTCTTCATCGCTTATTTTAAGGGTAATGGTATTTTCTTCGGCGTTGATGGCAATGATGTCTCCTGTTTTGACAAGGGCAATCGTCCCACCTGTTTGGGCTTCAGGCGTGATATGACCCACCACAAAACCGTGCGTACCCCCAGAAAACCGTCCGTCCGTAATCAATGCAACAGATTTTCCAAGACCTGCCCCCATAATCATAGAAGTAGGCTTGAGCATTTCAGGCATTCCTGGTCCACCTTTGGGTCCTACATATCTGATGACGACCACATCTCCCCTTGAAACTTCGCCCTTAGAAATACCATCGTTAGCTGCTTGTTCACCGTTATAAACCACTGCCTTACCTTCAAAAAACAAGCCTTCTTTTCCCGATATTTTGGCAACCGCTCCTTCACTTGCGAGGTTGCCGTACAAAATCTGTAAATTCCCAGAACTCTTTAAGGCTTTGTTGTCAGGGAAAACGACATCTTGCGATTCAAATTCCATCGGTTCCACATCGGATAAATTTTCTGCAAGCGTCTTGCCTGTAACCGTCATACAATCTCCATATAAATAACCTTGATTGAGTAAATATTTCATAATGGCAGGCGTCCCCCCAATAGAATGCACATCCTCCATCAAATATTTTCCAGAGGGTTTTAGATCTGCAATTAGTGGGGTTCTATCACTCACACTTTGGAAATCTTGCAAAGTAAAATCTATATCCCCCGCATAAGCAATCGCGAGATAATGCAAAACCGCATTGGTAGAACCACCCAAAGCATTTACAAGGGCTACAGCATTTTCAATGGATTTTTTGGTAACGATGTCTTTGGGTTTCAAATCTAATTTTAAGAGATTCATCATTGCCTGAGCAGTGCGTTGCGACTCTTTTAATTTATGAGGATTTTCGGCAGGAATAGAAGAATTATAAGGCAGTGCCATTCCCATACATTCTATAGAAGATGCCATTGTATTAGCGGTATACATCCCTCCACAAGCACCCGCCCCCGGAATAGCAGCCTTTACAATTTCTCTGTATGTAGCTTCGTCTATCTCTCCTGCGACTTTTTGCCCAAGTGCCTCAAAAGCAGAGACGATGTTTAATTTTCTACCCTTGTATTTTCCAGAAGCAATCGTGCCGCCATAAAGCATCATAGACGGTCTATTTAATCTCAACATTGCTATAATTGCACCTGGCATATTTTTATCACAACCTACAATTCCTATCAGACCATCATAACTCTGTGCATTGACGACCGTCTCCATAGAATCGGCAATAATATCTCGGGAAGTAAGCGAATAATTCATCCCAGAAGTACCCATAGAAATCCCATCGCTGACCCCTATCGTATTGAAACCAAGCCCCACAAAACCCGCATCTTTTGAGTGCTTTTTGATTTCGGCACCCAAATCGTTTAAGTGCATATTGCAAGGGTTTCCATCGTAACCCGTACTGGCAATACCCACCTGCGGTTTTTTCATATCCAAGCTCAGAGTCAATAGCGCTTCTTGTCAGTTGTTTGACCTCAGTCCTAGGTACGTCAAATATGGGGAAATATAATATACTCTTACTATATTCTTAGACGTAACTTAAGCCCGAGGGCTGGTTTTTTTATCTCTGTTTTACCACACATGTATGCAAATATATATTTAAATTTGCGATATCCTTTTTATAATAATATTTTACTTAATGCACATAATTCTTGATGTAGGTTGTAATTTTTTATTGAATATTTTGTTGTGGGCTTCCT